AAGCTGTGAGTATTCCTTTGATATTGCCTGGCAGCTAAAGTTGTACTGGGCTGTGCTGTGTGAGAGATGGCTCTGGTTTTGAAGCGTTGGAGTCCATGTGAATTTTCTATATACAGGCGGAGATTTTGTTTTGCTTTTGTCAAAACAATTCTGCTCTGTGGAGGCTATTGGGTATTAAAGTCCAATGGTAGGGCAGCTGGGGGAATGAACTGAGTAACACATCTCGCTGGTGGCAGTGCTCCTGAGGAGCTACCTTGCTGAACTCAAAACAGGCGTGACCCTCAAAAGCAGGGGCAAGAGATGGATCCCTCTGTCATGCTCAATGTCATGGGCATGGAGAGGAGGGGAACAGACTAGGGTGGAAAGACAGAGAAGGGAGGGGGAGAGCTCAGGCCCAGGGCACATTGGATGCAATTAAGAAACTGTTCTGAAAATCTCTAGAGCACACAAACATGCTCTAAGTTCCAGCTGGAGCATGCAACAGGCCATTTGCATCAGCTACCATGGTAGCGGGGACCCTTCTCACTACCTAGAAAGAGGCCACCTTTTGAAAATTTCCGCAATAATCTCTTCTCACAGTTGCCTGGGATCGCAGCATCCTTGCACCACTTTCTGCACTCTCAAGGAATGGTAGAATGAAGGCACAAGAGCAGATTTGGCCTGGTTCTGTATATACACACTCCCTGTACCCCATACCTCAGTGCAACCAAACCCCCAACTCAAATGTTGAGTATTTAAAAACACTTCATACCTATGAAGCAACATTTTAGTGTGGCTGCATAGGCTAAGTCCTCAATGCATTATTTTTTGTGTGCTTTTCTTTTAATCACCACTTATTCACCACCACTCCTCGCGCGAGCGAGAAAACCAGGAAAAAGTTGTCTTGGTTGGATTTAGTGGAGGGAGGGGAGAGGGATAAATCCATTATTTTTTAAACAAGAAAAGATTTGTAATTTGAAAAACAAATCTGCATATGGATTATTTGATTCCCTTCTGGAAAGAAGAATGTGAAGGGAAATTTATTTATAGAAAAGAACCCTTCAAACTGACTCTTGGTCCACAGACACTGTTACCACTGGGCATCCAGAGTAAACCGCCAGAGCTAGATTGAGTCTTTAGGCACATCTCTGACAAGGTCGACACCAACCAGGAGTATCTCTAGGAGACACTGTGGCACCTGTCGGTTAGAACTCCTCCCCTGCTTGCTCCTTAAGGTGGGCGGGAGATGGGGGTGGCCTATACCAGCAGGAGGTTACTACCTCACACTGGCTCAGCTACTTTGGCCAGTGAGTAAGGTAGGATGGGGCCATTCTCTGCTCCTTCCCACCCCCTGCTCTGGGGAGAGAGTAAATAGGTAATAGGCCCACTTACTCCTGCACATCCAAACCCAGTATCCAGGTCGCACAAGTCTAGCTATATGGTGCGGTTCTTAGTCCCCTCTGATGTCTTGTAGCCTTGATCACATTCTAGCCCTTAATTTTTTTTGTCAGACAAAGATCAGTGTTGTAACTGGTGGCAGCAAAACATGCAGAAACCAAAATGCTCGAAGCAGTAGCTCAACGTGACAGAGTAAAAATCTAGAATTTCAGCCTATCATTTTAGTCAAGCTGCCAGGAGGCTACAAGATCCAGGGAAGTACTAGTGAATTGCAAATAACCGACAGTTGTGCAGAAAATGTAAAACGTCAAACATGAAACACTGCCCCACAGTTAACACTCTCCTCTCCCCGTCAGTCCTGACAAGTATTGCTATTGATGTGAGTTCCTAGAGCACTGGACGTGTGCTAGGCACCTTACAGACAAACCCAAGACAGTTTACAGTACATAGCATGGGACAGAACACAGCTGGGAACCCCACAAGCAGCTTCTGAACCATTAACAGCAGTAGTTGATAAAGAAAAATATAGAAAGCCTTGAATGAGGTGCCACAGCCTTTCCCAGTGAAAAGCCAAACCCACAAAACGGTGAAGAGTGGTGGGTCAGCTGTTGCATACACATGGGGCCTGATCCAAAGATCATTGAAATCAAGTGGGAGACTTTCCATAGACTTTAATGGGCTTTGGATCTGGCCCTTAAGGTTCAATTCTGCACCACTGAAACCAATGGGAGTTTTGCCATTGCCCTCAGTGAAAGCAGAATTGTGTCTTTAGTTATGAGCAGGGCCAATTCCATAGAGCAGGGATTCTCAACCTTTTGCTTTCTGAGGTCCTGCCAACATGCTATAAAACTTCCCTGGCCCACCTGTGCCACAACACCTGTTTTTCTGCATATCCAGTAAATTAAAAGCCAGGGCTGGCATTAGGGGGTCACAAGGCGGGTGATTGCCCAGGGACCCACAACGATAGTTTGCTCAGGCTTCGGCTTTCAGCCCCGGCAGCGGGGCTCAGGCTTTCTGCCTTGGGCCTCAGCAAGTCTAACACTAGCCCTGCTCTCTGGTTTATTTTGGTGGACCCCTTGAAACCTGCTCAAGGCCCCCCAGGCAGCCCCAGATCCCTGGTTGAGAACCACTGCCATAGACAGTAGGCTTCTGCTAATAAGGGAATTGGGAATAACTGATGAAACCTTTCTTTACTGAACTAGTCTTCTAGAGGTACAAACAGTGGCACTGATCCTGCCAGCCGTAATCAGGCAAGACACCTATTGAAGGCAATGGATTGAGAAAGGAGTACAGCTTTTGGCTCATAGCGCACAATGTTGTTTCCACAACAACAGCCAAGTTCAAACACGGATTTTGTCTGGCTTCTTCTGTTTGATAATATGGACATGCTAAGGTCTGATTAGTCAGCCAGCTTTGTGAATTACAAAATGAGGTGCAGGAATACTATAAAATAGCAAGTGTACAGTTCAGTATAAAATAGGCTGAATGAACAGCCTGTGGCTGTCTACACAGAGATTTTTTTTTAAAAACGTATCCTGCCATACAGACTTTTTCAATCTGATAGATAAATTCAGCTCATCTGTATAGGGTAGATCCAGAGAAATGATTTACTTGGTTGAAGTTGCTCTGAGTTTAGACTATTATAACTGAGAGCAGAATTTGTCTCTTCTTGTTTATCTGCATTCACTTGGCTTATAAGAGACCCAGAATACATTTTAAGTAAAAGTCAAGCAGCCTTGTGTCTCAATGGATAATCAAACACTCAAGAACTTTAACTAGAACCATTAAAATGGGGTAGTATTTGAAGATCTGAGGGCAAAATTTATTCTTAGCTGAACTTACTGCAATGTTTACTTATCTGCTGTTTAGTGTTTATGAACCAATGATTTGAGGGTGAAATGGTACTTCCACAATACACCAGTTGCACAGGTTTGCATAAATATAGCTGGGCATGTAATAAAGAAATCACAACATTTGGGGTTTAATGCCTAATATCAGTGTCCCATTAGCCAAGTAGAACATTACTAGGTCACCAATGAAGAATCAGGTGGTGGCGTTATTCCAACAGGAAATGGGCGCCATCCGGATATTTTTCCACATCTATCCTGGCATCGTTATTATTTTATAATTAAACAGATGGCCCCTTCACTAATCCCTGTTCTGACAGTAGGTGAGGTGCATAGATCCTGCAGTCTGTTGCTTCACATAGTCCAGGGACACCCGAAGGGCCAGGAAATCCTGGCTGACCTGGAGGACCGCTGTATCCAGGGGGACCTGCTGTGCCTGGCTGGCCATCTTTGGCAACAGCAGGATGTCCAGGGAATCCTAGAAGAAGAATGAAACAAGGAAATTATATAAAGAAAAGGGGAGACTTGATTGAGCTGAGTCCTCTTGCCCCAAAATGGGGCCTGATTTTCCTTGTATTCATACTGGTGTAAATCAGTCATAGCTCCATTATTGCTGTTGGAATTACACTTGCAAAACTGATCTAAGAGAGGTCAGAATCAGGCTCATGGTTTGAAGAAATTCAAGATCATCAGCAAATTGTGAGGGTGAAAAAGATCAATAGGGAGCTATCTAGTGAATCAGTCTAGGGGCACATACCATCTCTGTTAAATTCCCCTGTGTGTGTTCTTCCCTTCCCATTGTACAGAATGAATCCACATGAAATAAATCCCCTTCACTGGACCTTGCTAAACCTGTACAAAGGACCTCAGTCTTTCTCAGTGTAATCTAGACACTTGATAAGGGCAAGTGCATTTTAATACACTCAAAATTGTGCCAGGGTCATCCTGACACTAGATGCTAATTAGAGCTGATTGGAACATTTTAAATTAAATATATTTTTGTTGACATATGCTGTTTTACTGAAGCGGGAATGTTTTATAGAGCCATATCAATTTTGATGAGAAGGTTTCTGAGGTCCATGGTTCTTTGGTCACTTCTGACCAGAGAGAGAGAGAGAGACCCAAATTGAAAACCTATGTTTTCAATCCAAAAATGAATGTTTTCACAATTCTGTTTCACAAAAACATTCAAAAAGTTTTGGGTTTGTTCCAGTGAAGAATGAAAACAAATTCTGAAACATGGGAAGTTGTTGTGAAATGGAAGTGTCATCCTCCAGCCAGATCTAGCATTAGCTATTCCAGTATTATTAGCACACCATTTCAGGGGTAAGAAATCTGATTTCTTCCAGCAAGGTCAGGAGAAAATAGTGGGGGTCCTCTCTGCGACCCTTTCTTTGAATTCCCAACCAGTCACTCTCTCTCAACATTTCTTTTACAAACATCCTGCTGATACACACCACTGTCAGTGTACACATCAGGTGCCATTAAAATCTTTGCAGGTTTGCACAGTGATCAAAATAGCAGCACGGCCTCCCCCATACTTAAAATAGAGATTATGTAGGAAAACTGTGAAGCTCACGAACAAAGTTAAGTATTTTCACGGAGAGCTGTAAATATTTCAGTGGCAATCATTGTACAAAAAATAACTTTATTAAATAAGTTGCACGTATATGTTTCATAACTGAGTCTATAGACAGTTTTATGGCGAATAACTGAAAAATATAGAGCAAGGAAGTTAAAACCTCAGATAAAACATCCCTTGAAATTCTCTTTACCTCTAAAGCCTTGAGGTCCATCTGGGCCAGGGAGTCCCATGCCCGAATCTCCTCTCTCACCTTTCTGGCCTCTGTCTCCTACATGGCACAAAGCACATAAAGAAACCAGCGTGTGCACTGGATTTGGCTGCAGAGGAACATTGCTTATGAATTAATCTAGGCGTACGCGTGTCCCTACCTGGTTCCCCAGCTGATCCTTTGGCTCCAGGAAATCCAATAGGTCCTCTTGGACCAGGCTCACCTTTAAATCCATCAAGACCTGTTTTTCCCTATTAAGATGATATATGTGGTTTTAATTTTTAAAGGCACAAACCAGGGTGTTTGCCATCATCAGGAAAAAAAATGGCAATTTTGAGATACCTGTTTTCATTTTCTATCTCTAAGAAAATGAAAACAAGCAGGCCAAGGAATCTCAGGACTTCAGAATTTCACCTGAAAGCAGAAGCACTGAGATGTAATGAGAAACTCTGCTCTCATTGTATGTCCAGTCTGGACCTAACCAGAACTACCAAATAATTGATTCTACATTTTTCCTACCCCACTCTCCTACGATCATTCTTAATGGACTTCTCCAGGCCTCACCATAGAAATTCAGGATCAAATTGTCCAGGTCCAGCCCTGAGCTGAGTATGCTTATGCTCTGTATCAGCTCTGCTCCAGTCAGCTAGAAAAGCACTGCTGGGAACTGAAGGCAGAGTGCAAACTTATTCCAGCTGTTGCCATTTCTTCTTATTCAAGGCTCTTCAGGGTGCCATGCTGTGATGTTGTGTATAAGAAAGGTGACCATTTATATCACTGTTACTCAATTTCCATTCATCTTATACAAAGTGCATCATGTAAGGTGTCAATGGAAAAGTTACAATCTGTTGAGTATGATTATCTTGGTTAAATCCATGTATCATCTCTGTATATGACGTTATGAACACTGGCTATGTATTTGGATCTCAAATGTGTTTGTTCCTGGGTGAAACCTCTCAAATAGATTTACATCAAGTCTAGACAGTTATGTGTTGGCCCATCAAGGACATTCAGCTCTCACAATGGGCCATAGAGAAAACTCATCCTGCCCAGTAGGTCCTCCTGCCTCAGACATCAAGGAACCTGTGACCACCCCCTGTGATGCAGAAAGACAGGTAAGGACATGTGATATGCTCATGTGACCCTGGACTCCATCTTGGTCCAGTAACTTTCCACAAACAGGGACTGTGGGCTTTGTTTGGGACTGTAACTTTCCCATGCACATGGCAGAGGATATAAAAGACCCCTGAAACATCCCCATTTTGTCTTCATTTCAGAGGTGAAAGTAAGCCGGTATGGTCCGGTCCGGCATACCGGCAAGAGCCAGTACGCCATGCCGGACTGCACCGGCTTCTGCGGCAGTGATTTAAACAGCCTGGTGCTCCTGCCACTGCGGGGAGCCCCGAGCCCTTTAAATCCCCGCCGGAGCTCTGGCAGACAGAGCTCTGTGGCGGCCGGAGCCCCGGGCCCTTTAATTCACCCCTGAGCCCCAGGGCTCCCAGCTGCCTCTGCAGCTTGTAGCTCTGGGGTGATTTAAAGGCCCTGGGGCTCCCAGCCACAGCTGGAGCCCCAGGGCCTTTAAATCTTAAAAGGCCCCGTCTCTTCTGGTTGAGGCCACGCCCCTACTCAGGACTCCGGCGTACTGGTAAGTCCTTTGAGTTACTTTCATCCCTGCTTCATTTCTCTGGACTGGATTTCTAACAAGGGAGCTTTAAACAAGGATTGATGACCTCCAATCTGTTTGGGTGATTCCACAGAGACTTTTGCAAACCAGCAGTTTATTCTATCACAAACCTGATATAAGGTCTTTGCAATCACTTGTATGTATATGATTCCTTAACCATTTATAACTTTCTCTTTTTTTCCCTTTTATTAATAAATCTTTAGTTATCTTACTGAGGCTTGGCTGATAGCATGCTATTTGGGTAAGATCTGAGATTCATATTGACCTGGTGGCGCAATGTGTCTTGTCCTTTGGGATTAGAAAGAACCTCACATATGGTGAAATGGGTTTTCCGTTGTCTGGGTGGGAGCCAAGGGCTGGAATGCCCAGAGGGGATTGTGTTTGGCTTCTGGTTAACCAGCAGGGTACTGCAGAAGCACTTTTATTACTGTCTTCTTGCAGTCTGCCTTGACGGTGGCATTCTCAGCTAAAGGGCTTTTTGCTCTGATCCTCACTTGTTTTGAAATACATTTATGAGTACATTTTGTGGAGAGCTTAGGGAGCACAGGGTATCGCTGTGGAACAATGGGTGAGGGGTGAGTGCCAGACTGATTTCTTGGCTGGCAGTTTCTGCTGGTACCAATGCTTATCAGGCATCCACATTAGATGTCATACAAGTAATGACTGACATGGACAAATACCTGGTGTGTGTGATCTGAAGGGAAGAGCACACACTGTTTTATTTCACAGTCAATCATGACACCGGGGTACAAACAAACAAAGAAGGACCTGACACAGAGTGTACATACACACTCTGGTTGAAATCTTGGCCCCACTGAAGTGAATGGCCATACTTCCACTGATGCCTGCAGACATATTGTGATACAGGAGAGCCAGGGAGCAGTGGGAGAGTGGTAGAGGGGAAATATATAAACCCTGGGCTAATTAAGGCAGGGTTCTCTGTAGACTAGGGAGGGTTGCTACCGGTTAATTGGAGCACCTGGGGTCAATTAAGGCCCTGCCAGGAACCTAATAAAACTCACTGCTTCAGGCAGTCAGGGAGGAGGAGGAAGGAGAGTGGACTGGAGCTTGGAGGTGCGTTGTGCAATTTGAAAGCTCAGACAACCGAAGTAAGGGAGACCCTGCCTGGCAGGGCGACTCCCTCCCACAGTGTCTAAGGACTGAGGGTAACCCAACCAAGGGGGAAGAGGGTAAGAAACCCGCAGGGGTTGAGAGGGGCTGGGACTCAGAGCGAGGAGCAAACCCAGACCCCTTCCCCGCTTCCCTCCTCTACCATCTTCCCAGGCTACTAGTGGGGTCCTCAGTGCCCAAGAGCAGGGGGAAGGGGAGGCATCTTAGGCCCCCCCCCCCAAGAAAAGCCGGGGCCTCACCATATGAACATTGGCCATCTTGTCACAATATTCACATGCACACTATCAGTATCATAGCAAGTTCTCACCTTTTTCCCTGGTGGTCCTGCCATTCCACGAGGCCCTGGGGGGCCAATTAGTGTCATGTTAGCAGTAGGACAGGCGCTGGCACATTTGTATCTGATAGCAGGTGCATATTGGGCTATCTGAGCTATAACCACATTACGACACAGTTCATACACCTGCTCCTCAGGCAGCCCTGGACCCTAGGATGAAAGTACGAATTTATAAACGCAACAGAAATAGAATTGGTATTTTGTCGGTGTATCTCCCAAGGGTATTCATTAGGCTGTATACATTCATCGAATAGTTTGGATGAACAATTTACCACCTATGGGTTGTTCATGAACTGTTCAATTGAACTGTTCTCCGTGTGCGATAGGTCACCTAAGTCACATAGTATTGTACTTTCTCATCGATTAGAGAACCGCAAAGACATCAATTTGTGCCAACTCTGAGGATGATTTGTGATGTGTCTCCAAGCAAAACTAAACTTTGATAGACAAACTCATATAGCCTTCACATAGAAAAAACTTTCAGTACCCACCAGTCTGAGCTGGATTTGAACTAGTGACCTAAAGATCAAAGGCTCTTTATCCCATTACTGCCCCCCCAGGATTAGTTTCTGTAATGTTTACACAATACATTTTGTGCAATGACTGAGAAATAAGGGGAGTGCATATTCAACAGCTGTCCCTAAAGCTCTATAAGCAGCAGAAGAGAGAGAATATGCTGATATTCACAAGCAAAACAACCAGCACTCCAATAACCAAATAAGGAAAATGCAAAGAAAAAGAAGGAGCTGGAACATACTTCAGGTCCCCGAGACCCTGGAGATCCAGGGGGCCCAGTTGCTCCATCCTCTCCAGTGGGGCCAGGGAAGCCTCTTGGACCAGGTAATCCAGGGACACCTCTTTGTCCCTTTGGACCAGCAGGGCCAGGAAAGCCACGTTCTCCTTGCTATGGGAGGAGGTGAAAGGAAAAGTTTGAAGGGAGAAAAATAGCAATAAGCATGAACAAAGAGGCGCCCATGTTCCTTCATCTACCTTCCTCCCTCTGTCCAGCTCTGTCAGTCTAAACGTACCCATCACCATCATACCTGAGCTCATGCAGCACAATTCTTACTTCTCCTTGGTGTTTGTGCAGATCCTTTTCATTCTACCTAACCCTATACCTTGCAGGGTGAGCATTATAAGAGAGAATGATTTTAGGTTCCTGTCGGGCTGTGATAGAACATCATTTGCCCAGAAGCTCTGGGAGGCTGTGCTGGATAGCCCCAAATCTTAATGTCACCCTCCCCCAGCATGCAGGAGAGAGAGACTGCTTAAACTCTGACCATTAATAGTTAGCTTTGGACATCCTGGACCGCCAATACCTAATCCAGGTCTTTTCTGCTGTGTGAGGTTTTGAGCATCTGGGAAGGTCGAGCAGCATATTCCATTCAGTTCAGCCATTCAATTTCTTTATCAATTATATGCACCATGGTGGCTTACCATTAGAGGAGTTTTGCTGCATGGCACACGCATTAATTCTTTGTGGACACATTTATTCATCCTGTATGGCCTTTCTGACTCTCAAAGGAAGGGTTTTCATAGGAGATGGTTCATTTCAGATAAGCTTTCACTGGTCTTGGTGAGCCAAAACTTATCAGAATACGAGAAACACCAACCCCCTGGACATTCCAACAGCCCCCACTTCTCTGGCCTTTATGCATCTCCCCCTCCCTGTCCAACAGACTCCACCTACTTGAATGTTCACAGAACTTGGTATCACTCAACCAGTGCCTGAGTCTATTTTCTAATTCCAGAGACAGGCAGGAAAGCCTCTCTAAATATATAGAGAACAAGCCAGTTCGGGGCGAGTTTTAAGTAGGGGGTTGAAGTTGTAATCAGCTGGTTCTAATGAAGGTTCACACTCTACGTTGCTCTCCTGAAGGGGAAAAATCTTCTACCCAGCACACAGCATGAGTAACTGGGCTTCACTGTGGCTGCTCAGTTGTGAAGGAACAACCTGCCCAGTTTGTGAGCAGCAACCTCGATGCTCTGTGGCTGCTGCTGCTGCAATCTCAGGGCTGCAGGAACCTGGATGGTTGGTGTGCTGCTCAGAAGTCAACAAAGTCATGGAGCCCACCTGTCTTGGCTCATGCTACTCACAGCCCACTCCAAACACATGTGTGGGGTGTGGGGCAGAGCTACATGGCCTGTGTGGTGTGCAGGTCCATCCATGAGCTCTCCTAATCCTGCCCCCCACCCTTCTGTAGCAGAGGGACTCCCTGGATAAGAACTCTCCATGCCAGTGGAGTGGGGGAAAGGGTTTGGACCTAGCATTGGAAGCAAGATAGATATTTCCTTGTGACTCTACATAGCCACAATGGACAAACAAACATACTTGTCCTTTGTCTCCTCTGTCTCCATCATCACCCTGTCAGAGAGTAATTGAAAATAGGTTAAAAATTTAGGTTTATGGAGCTCAGCATTCACCAAGTACTTAGACATCTTTAATTTCAAAGGCCATGGGCTGTACCTGGGGTCCAGCATCCCCACGGCTTCCTTTTCTTCCCACATCACCCTGTAAAGGAGGAATACAGTTTATAGCTTTTCACAGTCTCTCAGGAAATCTTTCTCTAATGTGTTCATTGTTTGCATTTCCTGCGCCCTCTGACTAAAACACTAACCCGACTGAACCCTTAGGCTAAGTCCTGTATGTGCGCTGGGGGTGGGGAAGGTGTTCGTCACTGCCTGCCCTGGAAGGAGTGCTAGGAAAGAACCGTGACTCTCGTAGGACATATGATCTAGTGGTTAGAGGGCAAAAGGGGACTGGGAATCAGGACTCCTGTGCCCTGTTCATTGTTCTGCCACAACCTTGCTATGTGGGCTAGGGAAAGGTACAACCTCTCTGTTTCTCATTTTCCTCACCTGTACACTGGGAATTCCTATCACACAGCAGTGTAGGGGTATTAATTATTTGTTAAAGTTATTTGAGATCCGTGGATAAAACACATTGTTCTCCACTATCACCCCCCCAACGTTAGGAGCCTGTGTCATGACAACCCTTCTTGCCCCCAAGAAGGGCTCAACACAGATCCCGTCAGAGTCCATCAGTACTGCTCCTTCATTGGCCACAGAGGATAGTCAGGTGTGACACAAAATGTCCCTCCTCTCCAATGACTGAGTTTAGTGCCTCCACAGTACTTCCTTCCATTCCTTCCTGTCTCAAGGAATACAGACCCAAGGCTGGGATGTGAACTCTGACCTGCTGTGTGGCAGCAGAAGCAGCATGATGGTTTTAAATATGCGAGTCAGGTTTGTGGAGAATATAAGAACATCTGAGTCATTCCCCAGAGCCTCTTAGCCATAAGCTCCATGACCATCCAAATCGCAGCTGAAATCACTCATTCTTGGAGCACTCAGGAAGGTGTGTGTGTGGTAAATCCCATTCATAAGCCAGAGATGCACACCAGTCCCATTATAAAGTCATTACAGTGCAGCTCAATAGGAGATGTATAATCTCCTTTCCCAAGTATGTATTTCAAAAGCAAATAACAAGCCATACCTTTGGGCCGTCATCTCCAGTCTCACCTTGAGCCCCCTGTGGGAAAGACAGGAGAGGGACTCACATGACTCACAGAGAAGACTGAAGTGACCATTTTACTTATTCACCTTTAACATGCGACTTTACCTTTTGGCCTTTTATTCCCTTAGGGCCAGGGTTACCTGGTAGGCCAGGATCCCCCATTTCACCTTTGGCGCCCTGTATGGAAAAGAGAAAAATCCTGACCAGCTTTCCACAAGTTCTCTTATGCTTTGTAGTGATGCACCTCCTAGGCCTGACTGAACCCAAAAGGAGCACATCTGCTTAGAGAAGGATTTTTTTCATATGTTGTTTTAGGAATAGGGCAGCTCTTGGGGATGCACAGTCATACTTTAGCATATACCTTACCATGGAACCTGGCCTTCCAGGTGGGCCTCTTGGACCTCGCTCGCCTTTATCTCCCTGCAAAGACAGTTGAAAGCCTCTTTCAATTACTTTTTTCAAAGGAGAATTGATGACAGACTTTGATCTAGTTTAGTACCCTTTATCCCGCAGTTCAGATGATCCTTTCCAAAAGAGGGCTTTTAATTTACCCATGTTGCAAAACATGGGAGCTTTTTTCTAGTGGTGAAGAAAACTAGTAACCCTTATTTTTCTCAACGATAATGCTTTTTTTTTTTTTTTTTTTTTTTATAAAACAGAGAACAAAACCAATAGGAAAGCTAGAGCTTGGAACACTGCTAGGTTGGTCAATAACATTAATGTCATTCATGTAACCACACTCTACTGAGCCTGCAGCGTCATTTTGCTTCAACAAGCTTTCATCTGTGAGTTCGGACAGCGTGGGAACTTGTAGTGATGGAGGATTGAGCCTCTTTTTTTTTTTGCTGTCATCTTCACTTCATAATTTCGAGACCATTTGTAAATGATGGACTCATGGCTTTCTTGTTGTCATTTAATTATCAAGTTGTTTTTTACCTTTGGTCCCATGAGTCCAATCTCGCCTTCTAATCCTGGTATTCCTAGAGGACCCTAGGAGACAATGGAATCTCTCTTAGGATATGGCTTTATTGCCTGAAAAGGGATTCATTGAGCATTATGAACTAGATCTTACATCCCTTCCTGGAATGCCATCACTGCCTGGTATTCCTGGAGATCCTTCATTGCCCTGAAAATTATAATATTAATATAATCAAAATAGCAACACCACCTCATAACTCCCTATAAGCACTTCCTCACCTCATGGGTTCCCCTCATCTCCAGCTGCAGCATTGCACAGCATCCTTTTCTCTCCCTCCACTCCCCCCTCCCCCGCCCACATTGGGCTCTCTCTTGGACCTTCAATGGCCTTTTACTGCCTGCATCTTCTCCCGATTCTTCCTTTGAGTGTTCTGTGGCTTGGCCCACTAGCCAAGTCACATACAATTCTTCTGAAGTAGCATGAACAAGTCCAAATAAAAGTCCAAACAAACCTTCAAACTAATAATCCTTCCACCACGCTCAGGCTTCACTGTAGTTCCCTTGTTGTCTCTACCTCAGGGCTACCCCTGCAGGAGTCTAACTCATTCCTTCAGTGTCCTCTGTTATTTCCTGTCTGTTAAACCCTATCCCAGAGCTTCTCCCTACCAGAGAGACTTACATCCTCTGCAGTCCCTCTCTCTAAGTGAACTGCCTCAGTCAGATTATAAATCCTCTAGCCAGGAGGGAATTAGTTAATCACCCCCAGGTGAGGAGCATGACTAATTGGGGCTCTTGTAGGTGATGGGGGTTAAGCCCCATTAGTCTTCTGAACACTATTACAGAAGATCTAGTTTTCTGGTTTTGTTTGTATGTTTGAATGAATTTAGTGCTCATGAAAGAGTCTTGCTTGACAGCCCTGTAGGCTTTTATCAAACCGCAGAACAGGCACAACATGGGCATTAGACGTTCAGGTATCCATATAATGCCCTGATTTCGGTGTGACCATCTCCGAAGTCGAGAGAGTAACTGAGTTTCCATGCCCATTCCAAGGAGAGTGGACTTGTTACATTCCCTGTGTTCTTCCAGCTCATCCAGAAAAGGAAAGGTTTGCTAACATTTCAACAAATAATGACAGTGTAGTTGGGGAAGTTCATACATAGTTTGAAATAATATAGCTAAAGAATAACATAGAGTGAAATCATTTTGGTAGTAGGAATAAAGTAATGTTTTGTAGGTAAGCTACTGGTGGCTTCCAAAATGTGCATCCCTCCAACAGGGGACAATAAACCATTTGCACGATGCATTCCTAAAATCCTGTACCTTCTTTACTGTTCAAACTTTTTAATGCATATGTCATAACTATAAAGGGAAGGGTAACAGCCCTCCTGTGTACAATACTATAATCCCTCCTGGCCAGAGACACCAAAATCCTTTTACCTGTAAAGGGTTAAGAAGCTCAGGTAACCTGGCTGACACCTGACCCAAAGGACCAATAAGGGGACAAGATACTTTCAAATCTTGGTGGGGGGAAGGCTTTTGTTTGTGCTCTTTGTTTTGGGGGTTGTTCGCTCTTGGGACTAAGAGGGACCAGACATCAATCCATGCTCTCCAAATCTTTCTGAACAAGTCTCTCATATTTCAAACTTGTAAGTAACAGCCAGGCAAGGCATGTTAGGTTTATCTTTGTTTTCTCAACTTGTAAATGTTCCTTTTGCTAGAGGGTTTACCTCTGTTTGCTGTAACTTTGAACCTAAGGCTAGAGGGGGTTCCTCTGGGCTCTTTGAATTTGATTACCCTGTAAAGTTATTTCCATCCTGATTTTACAGAGATGATTTTTACCTTTCTTTCTTTAATTAAAAGCTTTCTTTTTAAGAACCTGATTGATTTTTCCTTGTTTTAAGATCCAAGGGGATTGGAGCTGGACTCACCAGGAATTGGTGGGGGGAAAGGGGAGGGGGGTGTGTGATTAATTCCTCCTTGTTTTAAGATCCAAGGGGTTTGGATCGGTGTTCACCAGGGAATTGGTGGAGGAGTCTCTCAAGGCTACCCAGGGAGGGAAAGGTTTTGGGGGGGAAGACAGAGTTTCCCAAATAACTCATAAATCATTTGGGTGGTGGCAGCAAAAGCAGATCTAAGCTGGTAGTTAAGTTTAGAAGTTTTCATGCAGGTCCCCACCTCTGTACCCTAAAGTTCAGAGTGGGGAAGGAACCTTGACAGCATAGGTATTCAGTTAGTATCTGGTCCTGTGCTCACTGACAGCAATGGCAAAACTCCCATTGACTTCTGCAGTACAGTATCAAGCACTTAATCCAGGCAAAATTGACCCTCTTTATACCTTTGGCCCATCTTCTCCGGTCTCTCCGGGGGCTCCTGGATAACCCTGAGTGGAAGGAAAAATAAAGGAATGGTCATATAATAGTTATCCAAACATTTATGTTATGTAAAGTGAAAGACATCAGTAAGATCATGATTCTTTGATTGACAGGCATTAGAGCCTTCACCTCCAATCAGTCATTGCTTCAGATCAGATATAGACCCTGCAGTCGGCTTCTTGCAAAACATACAGTCAGGTGTAATTTCCTTTAATAATAACAACAATTCCATTACATTTTGATTCTTTTATAAGAAGAATCCTTTCTGAATGGCAGCTCTTTGTAGTCATTTTAAGTAAAGAATTAAAAACTTACAGCAGTGTGATAGGGTATGCACCCCACACAGCCCTGAAAGGATTACTGTGGGCCTGAAGGGCCAATTAGGGTATCTGGCTGCACCTGGAAGGAGACCCATGCTTAACTCAACATGAAGCCCAGCTGGGCAGAAGCAGGCTGGTTAGTATAAAAAGACTGCAAGCTGAATAAAGCTGTAGGGAGAGTCTACAGTCACTCGCTAAGCACAGAGAAGTGGATAGGAATAAAGCCAGGTGGCAATAACAACCCTGAGATCCTATCTCTGTGGGAAAGGTTTACCCAGAGTAGTTGAGGGGAAGAAAGCCTGTAGAAGGCCAAGTAGGAAGAAGCCCAGGGAAAATGCTGCAAGGGTTGAGACTGTGAAGACCTTGTCTGCTGATGGTAGGGTTCCTGGGCTGGAAGCCAGGGTAGTGGGTGGGGCTAAGTTCCCCTATCAGCCACTGGGGAAGTGGTACAGACTGGGAGTTGGCAAAGAGGACTGTCAGGGACAGTATATGGACAGTTGGTTCTGAGGGACTTTGATACCCCAGAAGGGGTAAAATTATATAATGACCTGGCTGGTGGGCTGAGTCACAAGGAAAGCACTGTGAGTCCTAGAGAGCAAGAGGGGCCATGGAGCACGCGATGGAAGGGGGCACTAGACTGGATGAGAGCTGACCCCCTGACCCAGCCACAAGGGGGCACCCCAGTGGTGAGTGAACCCTGTTATATGTAGATAATGACATGAAAACCTCACATGGGATGGCTGAGCACACGTCTGTCTATCATGCAGACCTAAGTCAGAAACCTGCCCTCTGCTGTTTAGGAGAGATTGTTTGGTTGCTTCAAGACATTTTTGATCTGAATTCCCTTTTCATTTTTGAGGGAGTAACAACTTTAAATAGTAGACAACACTTGGGAACTAATACATAGGTCAGTTCTATGGGCTCAGCCTACCACTTCTAGTAATGGTAACACTTCTCTGGGCCAAATTCGGTCACTCTTATCTTTAGTGGTACCTTACTCCTTGAGTAGTTCCATTGAAATCAACAGGACTACTTCTGGAGTAAGGTATTACACTAGGTGAGTAAAAGTAGGAGACTCTGTCCCTGTATTTGAAGTCTGGTTGCAGAAGTACTACTTGGCAGATGTAGTACCCATTGTGGGCTATCCCTTAATGAGCACATTCTCATTGCCAGCAGTCTTGCTGATTTAAATGGGACTACTTGTGTGAGGGTTCACCAATGCAAATATGGGTTCCAAACAATCAGGCTCTGTATGAGCTAAGTCTACACTACTACATTAGGATTCAGTTCTGCAAGACCTCTGTGCATAAAACTCCTAGTGACCTTAATGGACTTACGTGCACTGAGAAATTTTGTGATCAGGCCCTTACCCTCCGCTCTGATAGAGACACAAGACATGGTTTGGTAGATTTACCCTATATCCTTGTTCTCCGATATCTCCTTTGTTTCCTTTGGCACCAGCAAAGCCCTGGAATAGAGATTTGACAGCTGTTATTCCTGTTCATTTTATTGTTCTTTACTAAACTAAACTTCTATCCCTAAATCCTCCAACTCCATTCTTCAAAGAATTCCTCTCTCTGAGTTCCAAGTCATGATCATCTCTCAAACTGGTAACCAGCATAGTGTGGAAATGAAATAGCCAAGGATAAATTAAAATTGGACCCATGAAAACCTCCATTTTGGGTCCAAACACAGTTGAAGCCACATGTTAGTTAATGATTCTCGGGGCAGAAATGTTAACATGTGGTGTTTTCTAAAATATATTAAACTGCACAATATACAGTAGAAGGGAATACACAGTCATGTAAAGTCTGCAGTTCTGTGTAGCTGGTTCACTCTGACCACATGGACTAGTGGATACTACAGTTGGGTGGCAGAGCTGCTTCTACATGGAGGAATTCTGGATAAATCAGTTACACTTCCTCCAGAGGCCCTCACTGCAGTATGTATCCTCCAGAGACCTCCTCCATACACACCTTGGGCAATGGCTTAAAAGCACAATCTGGCTCTTTTCCTTTTCAGTGATGTTCACATATCACATTGGGAAAAGATTTATAGCCATAGGCACAGCTCTGAGCTAAGGGTGGTGCATAAACAGTACCACTCAGGAGCAGCCTGGGAAATATTGTAACTCAGACACATCTCTGGGTCCCAATTCCTCCTCTGCTTCCTCCTTGCTCCCAGGGATTATACCAGCCGTAAATTATTATATTCCCTTTCCCCCACACACTGGCTCAGCTAGTCTGGCAAGTGAGGAGGCGGGGGGAGCAAAAACCCTGCTCATTCCCTGGCACTGTCCACCCACTCCCTGCCATCCTCTGCCTTGAATGGTCTCTTACAATATGTGCTAACTACTTCTGCTAAACAATCGGTTCCACCTCGCATTTTGCTGTGAGATTGGGAGTACCTTTCCCAGACCCGAAGAAGAGCTCTGTAAAAGCTTGTCTCCAATAAAAGATATTACCTCACCCACCTTGTCTCTCTAATATCCTGGGACCGATATGGCTGCAACTACACTGCATCCACCTCCAGAAATTAGCTGTTTATCCCAGTGCACTGAGATCCAATGTCCAGATAGTCAGTGCAGGGGTTTCATGAGGGTTTTGCTCCCTCCTAATCCAGCCTTTAACCATTGTAGGGAGTTATCTTTGCTCCCCTCTTTTTTTTAAATGATATTTTAAGTCTAATATATTCATGGCTAGTTGGAGTTGTTTGGGTTTTCCTACAGCAACATGGTGTGGAATTACCTTGGGTCCCTCAGGCCCCTGAGGTCCTTGTTTTCCTGGTCTTCCTTGGGAACCCTACTCCACAACAAAACAAAGCCAATGTCTCGCCATTTTAATATAAACAAGGAAAATAACAATGAACAATGAGTGCATCTAGTATGGTTTTAAAAATACATTTTCATGCAGTCAGTTTTGGAAACACCACTTCATTCGAAGTAATATTACATGCTGAATTTGTCTGGAGTTTTTTTTTGAGGAATCAACATATATAGTCCTCGGTGATAAAGATAATTGCGATTGTACACAGTTGCTGAAGCATGTTAGACATGGCCATTGTTCAACATGTGGAAATTTGTCTGTGTAACGTCATAATTCTGTGCACACAGATTACAGCCACATTCAGTAAAAAAGAGAGCAGAATAAATAGAGCAAATAGTAGCTTGGAGATGGGACTCTCTAAAGTAGGAATAACAGCTGTAAAAAGCTATCAAGTAAAGAAAGGGAAGAGGTCTTTTGAACAGTGTGCTTCAAAGAAAGGTTGCTTGAAAGAGTTTGGGGAAATGTGGCTTGTTGTATAAACATGGAGATGTTCAAAGAGCAACAGAAACACTTAGGGCACTTGAGGAATTGACTCATGGATAGAAATGGGCTCCAGCTATAAAATTTGAAATTTGATCCAGATTTCCAAATGAGCATGTCAAAGTACAACACGGAGCACAGTGCATGATAGCAGGGTCCGTAACAGCCGGTTAGTGATTGGCAAGCTAATGTACTCTTGATTCACACCTTGTCTTACCGTGCTCTAACTTTCTGTAGACGAGCCCTTAGAATAATGTGTTGAAATTAAGGGGGGGAAGCTTTTTAGGCTGAATATCAGTGCAAACTTCCTGACAGTGAGGTGTGTAAGACTGTGTAAGTGATAGAAGGTTCATAGTTTGTTAAAACTAGACTGGAATAAAACCAGCATGAATGTGCTGTATATTGTACTGTAGGGAGATGAGCTACATGATTTAGGATATGTCTACACTACCTGCTGGATTGGTGGGCAGCCATCTATCCAGTAGGGATCGATTTATCGCATCTAGTCTAGACACGATAAATTAATCCCCGAGCTCTCTCCCGTCTACTCCTGTACTCCACCACCGCAAGAGGCACAGGCAGAGTCGACAGGGGAGCTGCAGCAGTCGACTCACCGCGGTGAAGACACCACGCTAAGTAGATCTAAGTATGTCAACTTCAGCTACGTTATTCACGTAGCTGAAGTTGCATAACTTAGATCGATCCCCCCCCAGTGTAGACCAGGGCTTAAGTATTTTCCATCTCTAATTTCCATAATGAGTCTATAATACTTAGATCTGTGAGTATTTTGCTAACCACATCACTATTGTACCACAGTAATTGCTTCAGACACTTATCTTGGTTGTTTCTATATAGTATCCAGAAAATAATGCAGCAATGGCTAACATTGTGATGTCAATTCAAGCTATGACATGCCTTCCAGAGGATGCTACTTTTGAGAATGACATTGCAGCAGGGCAGCTTGACTCACCCAGAGCTCATATACATCTTGGTATTAACAGGCCAGATCCTCAGCTGGCGTAAGCCATCAGAGTTCTGTTACAAGGCAAGGGTGCTATGACAACTGAAGATCTGCCACAATGAGTATTATTATCTGGTACCAGGTTTTTATTCTGCCCTATTTCTGGCTTAAACGTAGTGGGCCACGAATGCATTATTTGCATCAAAGAATCTAATTGGGAAAGGCTTATTGCAGGCTCAGATCAGGTTTTCTGGCTTTAGTGAGGTGAGTCATTCTTTACCATAGAGCACAGGGCCACTGCTCCCAAGCACTCAGGCTCTCTGAGCACAGCGAACACAAAATGGTTCTTCAAGCAGGGACATTCCTGTGTGGTGCTCTTGTTGCTCTGTGGAGGAGGCCTGGAATAGTGAGCTCCTTTGGGCATCTGTGGCCCTGTCATAGTTATGTCCCAGTTATAGATGTATCACAGTCCCAGTAAATTGAGGGGAATAGAATTTGGGGGTCTATTCAAGCCAAAGCCCTATTTTAGCCCAAGCTTGTTGCTTATACCGAAGATACACTAGCATCCCAGGAACTAAGGACTGTTGTTTTCCCCCGCACTAGTCAAGCAAGTGCCATGATACTGCTTACTGTGATTCTAGATTAGAGTAACGGAAAATGATAAAATTCAATAAAGACCAGGGCAAAGTACTACACTTAGGAAGGAAAAATCCAATGCACAACTACAAAATGGAGAGTAACTAGGTAGGCAGAGGTACTGCTGAAAAGGATCTGGGAGTTGTAGTGGATCACAACGTGAATGAGTCAACAATGTGATGCAGGTGTGTAAAAGCTTCATATCATTCTGGGGGTGTATCAACAAGAATGTCGTACATAAGACACAGGAGGTAATTGTTCCACTCTATTCAGCATTGGGGAGGCCTCAGTGGAGAATTGTGTCCAGTTTTGTGTGCCACACCTTAAGGAAGATGCGGACATATTGGAGAGAGTCCAGAGGAGAGCAACAAAAACAATAAAAGTTTTGAAAATATGACACATGAAGAAAGGTTAAGAAAACTGGGTTTGTTTACTCTTGAGACAAGAAGAATAAGGAGGGACCTGATGTTAGTCTTGACATATGTTAAGGGCTGTTACAAAGAGAGAAACAGATTTAGGTTAGATATTAGAAAAAACTTTCTAACTATAAGGATAGTTAAGTTCTGTAATAGGTTGACAAGGAGTAATTGGAGGTTTTAAAGACAGGTTAGAGTTAGATAAACAGCTGTCAGGGAAGGTCTAGGTAGAGTTACTCCTGCCTTCATGTGTGGGGATGGACTAGATGATCTCTTCAGGTCCCTTCCAGCCCTACATTTCTATGATAAAATGGGAAAAACAAAAGAATCCTGGGCTAGTAAGAACAAGTGTTAGATTTTAATTGTTGCTTTTAAATAAATTCAAACAGGGGAAGACAGGAACTTAAACATGAAAAGAGAGTCATTCTGACAAAAGAGAAAATACATTGATGACCGAACTGAATGTTGGCTTAACATTACACAGCTAAAAGTTATGATTGAACACCTGGTGCCATGGGAACATGGTTATTTACTGCATTCACATTGTTGGACCTCATTTTTCAGCTTTATATAGACAGTGCAAAAAGACAAAGCCTGACAGACACGAACTGCTTGCAATAAATTGCCATCTCATACCATCTCTCCTGGATCACCAGAGCCACCATCCTCACCACTCCCACCAGCATCCCTCTGAAATGCAAAACCAGCTGTTACTTCTGGCTTCAGATTCTCTACAGCATTTAGAAGCTTCCAGTGACAAGCACAGAAAGAGAGAGACTGATCACTTACAATTTCTCCTTCTATTCCAGATTCACCCTGAGGTCCAGGCAAACCAGGTTCACCCTATGACAGAGAAGGACCAGAAACAAGTTACCTTCTTTGTTTAGAAAGGGTCTGTCCTGCTGTTGACACACCACTCATTCTGACAATTAACAGATGGGCTCATTTTCTCTTCTGTACTCAGATCCTTTCCCATGAGAAATCATCGATGATTATTATTGTGCCTAGGAACCCCATTCAAGGATCAGGGCCCTAGTATGCTAGGCCCTAAGCAAACAAGTAACAAAAGACAGTCTTTTCTCCAGACAGTTTACAATCTAGATGTAGGACAAGACAGGTAAACAAGGATGAGGGGGCTGGGAGGACAAGCTAACAATAAAACAAGCAAAGTTTAGCATAAAAGCAGAATATTTTCATGTTACTTTTTTCCCTGGGGGGCCAAGTTCACCTGTTTCACCAAGGAAACCCTGAGGGAGTAATGCAATGTTATTCATTTAACCCTCGAAAGAAGAAAAAGCGGCATAGTTTTGTACCTTCATGTTTTGCTTTTCCAGAATTTTAAAATTACTTTCACTTTTCAGAACTGTATAAGAATGACATTAAAAAATATGGTAATATGCAAATCAGTTTCTGTCATATGATAAGCGAGTAGTTAATGAATGATAGAGGTCAAAAGAAAACAATGATCGGTATTTATTCTGAATCTATTATACTTAGATGATTCTAATCAAACTCTTGCCCATCCCTTGCAATGCCTCACACAGCATATGTAAAAATGCATTGGATTTACTTTCTGCCTACTTACCATAGCTCCTGAATATCCAGAGGATCCTTCGGAACCTGGTGGTCCTAGATCACCCTACCAAACATTGCGTAGATATTTAATTACAAGTCTCTAGTGCATTACAGATAAATGTACACAAGACTGGCACCCAGTTTTCAAGCTGACATTACTCTTATGTGATCCATGTTGGTGCCTAAATGAAGAACAAAGCTGCTTCTGCCACATGTAGCTTTAAAACACCTGCTACCCCAAGATAGTACAAGCCATCTGTCACAGAAGTGAGGTTGCTTTGTAAGAATTTAAGAATGCTGTGCGTTGATCTGGTTATTTGGACGTTAGTTGTACAAATGTATTGATTGAGTTTAATAGGGGCCGCTGGGAAAAAACACAAGCAGGAAAGGACAAAAATGGCTTGAGATAAGCCACTGCCTGGTAAACACTTCAGGCTGGTTAAGAGACGATGCCTGAGCGTCTAGTTGTGAAGGTCCTACCTCCAGAATACAGCCAAGTCAAAAAGCTTTATTTGCCAGTGCTCGGGACCAGGCACTCAAAAGGACTATAACCAGTTTAAAAGACACTTTCTGTCCAGAGGTGGGGGCAGTTGTGACTGAGAAGCTGTTCACACTGACACCTGAGCGGATGGCATCAGTCACCGGAGAGGGTGTCACACGTGCGGTTAGCCCTGTAACCACGGCACTACCAATTTCTTTTTAAAAATTAAACAGGGACTTTATGTACGGTCTCCAGACAGGGCCCAGCAGAAGGCCTGTCCATATAGAAACCCCAGTTACATCCAGTTTTAAGGGCATAAATGGTTCCTAAGTCTTGTGTGGGCCATTCTACACAGGAATGAATTTTAACTTATTTGAATGAAGCTGTATAATGCGTCTGTACCAACTCCGGGTGCGGGCAAAGGTGAATGTGCTGAAAAGGAGGGAGGGTCTCTTGAGATTCCTCAGGTTGTTTTTTTCCCCTCTACTTTGCTCCCGCTCATCCGCAACCCTGCTTTGCAGTGACCTCGCTCTGACTGACCCCAGGACAGGCCCCTTCTGGAACCTAGTGATGCCACTCTGAGCATTAGTCACGGGGGGGGATAAGGGTGGGGACACACATTTGAGAGAGCAGTGTGAGTTGCTCCCTCCCACTTGGGGGAACAGAGTGAGCCGTTTTTATAAGGCATATATGCGAGTGCAAGTCAATCCTAGAAGCAAGGGACAGGCCTGGGTCAGCAAAGTACATAAACATCTGTTTAACTCTAAGCCCATAAGTAATCTCATGGACATTAACAAGGCTGCTCATGTGCTTAAAATTATGCATATGTTTGCACCGTGCTGAATCAGGCTCTAAACTTGGGGCCCAAACTCTAGCTCTTTGCCTGGCAGCACAACAGGCTGCCACTTCACTAGTCATTAATAACAATGAACAGATAGGCTTCCTGGCCCGCCCCCAGCTAGTAAATAAATGAAGGGGCCATACCCTTGGTCAGGGCCGGCTCCAGCGTTTTTGCCGCCCCAAGCAGCTGGGGGGGAAAAAAAGCCGCGATTGGCGGCACTTCGGCGGGAGCTCTGCCGCCGCCGCTGCTTCATCCTTCGGCAGCAATTCGGCGGCAGGTCCTTCCCTCCTAGAGGGACTAAGGACTTGCCGCCGAAGACCCGGACGTGCCGCCCCTTTACGTTGGTCGCCGCCCCAAGCACCTGCTTGCTGCGCTGGTGCCTGGAGCCAGCCCTGCCCTTGGTCCAGGATCACCTCTTCTTCCAGGAGCGCCTTTTGCTCCTTTGTATCCCTATGGAAATATTTCACTGTGTGACTTTACTTCTAAAGACAAATAGCATGCTCTTATTTTTCTACAGCTTTCTTTGCTATACCCAGGATCTGATCTATCAATATTTCACACACGCTCTTCCACATCTGCCCAGAAAGGTCTTGTGTACTGAACAGAGGGAAAGAAACAAAGGAAGGATACTATCTTAACATGTAGGATATAGTGGGAAAAAATGGGTTGCAGAAGAACCTCCCTCATTCTCATTAGTGAAGCTGAGAGGATTTGTGAATTATGGAATTTTGTGACTTAGCAAGAGAACAACATAGAATTAAAAAAGGATCACAGCACCACAAGATGTACTTTATTTATTTGAAAGGAGTAGTTTAGTGTTAATCATGTAAGAATATTTCACAATATATTGGTAGATGTTCTGCAGCATATTTTCCAGAAGAAACAAAGTAATGGGCCCAATTCTGAGACGAGTTAAACAACTCCTGCAATTTCAATAGTAGATGAGGGGGTCTCAGTACCTGGCAGGATCAGGTTCAAAGTTTTTGATTTTGAGCTTGACCTATTAGGAACTAATGGAACAAAAGAATCACTAATGCCCTAACACAGAGCTAATCCAGCTCCCATGAAAGCCAATGGAAAGACTATGTTTGACTTAAGTGCAGTTGGATTGGGCCCTGAGATTACAGTTTTAAGAATGTTTTGCTTTGCTACCCTCATCCAGGTCCACTCATCCCTTCATCAAATTAATAATGGCCAATTACCTGTCTTCCTTGAAATCCTGGGAAGCCTAGAGCACCTTGATCACCTTTTTCACCCTGCAAAGCAAAGCACATGAAAATGCACAGGAAATGTTGCATTGCGTGAGGGCAGCTGCAATCAGTGACAGAGACCACATTTTAAAAACATAGACGGGTGGTACTCTCCTTAGTTCCTACCTGGGATTTCTGTGCATTATTCTAAGGTCACTCTGCTAACAGTCCCTACTGTGTGACGCCTCTTTGCTTACCAAAATCCAAATATGATGAGACATGGCTCTTATATTGGCCCCA